TACCCTTCGCTGTATCGTCGTACCCCCCCCCCCCCCCCGTCCCATGACCTGGTGGCGGCTGGCGTCACGTCGGCGTCATGATCCCTCGCTGCCTTCATGTCGTCTCTTCTGACTGCTCCACCACATGGGTCTCGTCTCCTCGTAGCCATTGCCAGGCTCCGTCTCGAACACCCTTTTCAGTCCCCTCTCCTCCCTCCTCCCATCCCAGCCCATCCCCATCCCATCCCGTCCCATCCTGCATCCCTTGCTATATTCACAGGTGTGGCCTTTAATTGGATGCGCATGCACCCACCGTGACGCAATTTGCTCTCATACCCCACCCCCCCCCCCCCTTCCGGCCCACACTCATCCTCGCATCATGGCCGCAGAACGTCACGCTGCACGCCAAGAACGAACCGACACCCGTTCATCAAGCTGATGAAGACATTCAAAATCGTGTGGCGTGGATCGAGGATGAGACCAACATGAAGAAGTACGGCGTGGCCGAGTTTGGCGTGGCTGGTGATGCCATTCTCTGGCCGCAGCTCGTCCAAGTCCGCATCTCATCCACAGGCTGGAGTGTCCTCCGCTGTTACAACTGCGGTTTGGACATGTACGCAACAGCACCTGGAACCGGTGACGCTACAGTCGTCTTTAACGTCGCTGTTGCTCCCGAGGACATCGAGGCTGCCAAGGACTCGGCCGACTACTCGCCGGTCTTTGAGGTTGTCCTACCCATGCGCGCGAGCCTGGCTGCTGATACTGCGTCGAGCCCGGCTACTGTTGAGCAGGCGCGGTCTGTCGGCGAGGCAGAGATCCTCCGCCGCCTTGTCGAGCGGACCAACGCGCGGGTCGATGCCGAGGAGGCTGCCATGCGCGACCGCATCGCCAAGTACAAGGCCCAGCAGGAGGCCGCCTTTGACACCTTTGTCTCGCGCGCACACACCGACCGCGCTGTTCTGTGGAACCGGATGTGTGGCCTGTACTCTGTCGACAACGAGCTGGTCAACACCGACCGCGTCCACACCTCGGGCGCCGCTGCCCTCGCCACCTCGCCCCACATTGCCGATGCCCATCTCCCGTCGTCCGTCTCGTCGTCGTCGGGTGGTAGCATGATCACCGCCATCGTCCCGGCTGCCTCGTCGCCGCAGCGGGACACGTCATACACCTCGGCATCACCGCGCTTCGGCTCGGCGTCGTCGCTGGGCAGGAGTGGCCCGGCCGCGTCGCCGGCACACGACCAGCCGCGTGCCGCCGACTCTCCAAAGCTCAGGTCGCCCCAGAAGAAGCATCGCCCGTCGCCGGCACACGAGCGCGTCGAAAGCGCTCGCCCACCGGTTGCATCGCCCTCCCGCCGCGTTCCTGCAGCGGGCGACAACGCTGAGGTCGACGTCTTTGACAACGACGATGACTTTTACGGAGGCACCGTCTTTGCTTTCGAAGAGGACGACGACATCCTCGGCGGCCATGGCGCGTCGGCCGGCTCCACATCGGGCGGTGAGCTGTACATTGGCCGCCAGCCCGATGCCGACGCCACCCTGTACTCTGACGACGATGACGATGACGACGACGACAACAACAATGGCGGAGCGCTTGGACGCAACGCCCGCTTCGATGCCGGCGTCCGCGCCACCTCGTTGTCTCCGGCCGCAGCCGACTCGCTGCTCGGCACTTCGGTCCCGATCTCCATCCCCGGTGTCAACGCCTCGCGCTGGCACCATGCGCCCGGCGGCGAGCCTGAGGTCATCGGCTCGGTTCCCGGCGAGGCGACGTCGCTGGCGGCGCTCGGCACAGCCGACGTCCCCATTGCCGGCTCGCTCCACGATGCCTACTTGGAAGCGTTTGCATCGGGCGCCCTCGACACCGCGTCTTCGCTCAACCCGGGCCGCCCGCCGGTCTCGGTCGCGCGCTCGCTCATTTAGCTCGCCACAGAACAAACACACAACGAGCGACCGGCCGCGCACATCACTACTCTGACTGCAGGAACCACGAAGCGACGATCGCAGCAATCGTGGTGAGGCCGACAACGACCATGGCGGCACGGGTCCCACTCGCCGGGCGCATCGCTCGCAGCGGCGGCGGCATTTCCGCCTGCAGCGCGCCGAGCTCGGTGAGGTGGGCTGGCGGCGAGCCGGCCCAACGCTCGGGCCACGCTGTAAAAGCATGCGGAAAGGTATCGGTGTCGGCGAGGAGCTCGCGCGGCGGGAAAGCGTGGGCCAGCTGGAGTGCACGGAGGATGACGCCGTCGACGCTTGCCTGCGACAGCCGGCCGTCGGCGAGCAGGTGTGAGAGCCTGTGATGGAGCGAGGCCATGTCGTCACCGAGCGCCATCAGCTCGTCCTCAGCGTCGATGACGAGCGTGGCCGCCAGGTAGAGGACAAACGCCGGGTGAGTGGCAAAGCACGCGTCCCAGAGGCGGAAGACTACCTCCGAGTCGTCGATGTTGTGTGCAAAGAGCGAGAGCAGCCACGGCATGCAGAAGACTGCCGGTACACCGGCGTTGGTGAGGTAGGCGTGTAGGGCCGGAGCAGCAGCGCCCACGAGCTCCATCACCTTGTCCATGGCGGCGAGCGTAACCTCGAGACCCTGTGTGCAGTACGGCGCGAGCCGCGCCGAGAGCAGGGCGACCATGGCGGCGCACGCCGGCGTCATGCCCGTCATGGTACTCTTGCGCGTCTCTGGCAGGCCGACAACAAGCCCGGCGCCCACATCGTGCAGGCCCTGGTAGTAGTACACCTTGTCCTCGCCAAGCGCAGCGATGGCAGTCAACAGGACGTCCGTCAACGCCGCCCGCTTCGACTCGCGCTCGTGATCTCCGAGCACCCGCCCGTTTGCCTCCCACAAGCACCGCGCCACGTCCTTGGCCACCTGCTGCTCGTCGCGGAGCTCTGCCCCGATCCCGATGCCCGCGCCGACTCCTCTCCGTGCAGCAGCCGCCGTCTGCGCCGCCACCTCGCTCGAGTGGACATACGTTGAGAGAAGAATAGGCCAAGCACGGAGCCTGATGGCCGACGTTGTGAGGCCTCCTGACAACGCCGCATGCCGCAGCCGCCACAATCCGTCGGTCACCCTTCTCGGCAGCCGCTCAGCGGCGTCAGGCGTGAGGAGGGCTTTGGGCAGCTCCCGGAGCGGGCCTTCAATCTCTTCAATAATCTCCTGCACGTGCTTCCACCGAGCAGAACTGGTATACCCAACCTTTCGCGGCGACCCTTCCATCCTGTGGTGCAGGTGAGTGCGGTGACGAAGGGGGGAACGTGTGAGTCGGGTGTCCCACAGCTGCCGTCGGCAACAGCCACCGACCACCGCCACCCGACCACCCAACCACCGCCACCCAACCACCGCCACCCAACCACCGCCACCCAACCACCGCCACCCAACCACCACCACCGCCACCGCCACCACCCAACCACCGCCACCCGACCACCGCCACCCAACCACCCCACCACCACCGCCACCCAACCACCGCCACCCGACCACCGCCACCCAACCACCGCCACCCGACGACCGCCACCCAACCACCCCACCACCACCGCCACCGCCACCGCGACACACTTGACGCAGAGGGCGAGGATGAAGATCATCGAGAAGATCCGTGCCAAGGAAGAGGCCAATGAGAAGTACTTCTCACTTGAGTTCTTCCCTCCCCGCACTGATGCTGGTTGTGCCAACCTACTCGCACGGTACGTACCCCCCTCCTCCTCCTCCTCCTCCTCCTCCTCCTCCCCCCTCTCTGCCACAACGGTTTTTGGATGTGTCAAACCACGTTCATCCCGCGTCCTCCCCCCCCCCTTCCCCCTTCCCCTTCCCCTTCCCCTTTCTAGCCACCTACCAACTAGTTGAGCCGTGTTCTGTAGGCCAAACACGAGTATGGCATGCATCCTTTGAAGAGGTACCCGGTAGTGATGTTTGGTGCTCTAGATGGTGGTGCTATTGCTGGCAGAGCGCTGGGAAGGCGAGGTCGGCTGTGCGGCTTCGGCTTGCGCCATCCTCATTCGTCGACGTGGCGAGTTCTTGGCGCGCCGACCCCAAGCACAACCCATATACCTCATGTGAGCCTTCCTCACCATACTCAAACTCGGCAACCATACTTACTCTTGCACTTTGCTTCGTCTCCCGTCCTCTCGTGGTTGGTACGCGACCTGTGGGCGGCCGTCAACTCGACGCCACGACTCGGCGTGGTGGCCGTGGCCGTGGCGGTGCTGGTTGTGCTGGTGGTGGACTTCGTGAACGGTTCGAATCCTTCGAAATGGACGCTCGCTCCTCGATGACCCCTTGATGGTGCTTGCTACACCATGGACCCTCGGACGCCCGCCCCCTCGACAAACGCTCGCGCGCCCGCCACACCATGGACCCTCGGACCCTCGCCCCCTGATGGAGAAACAGGCTGCAGCGGATGTCGCAGCTTGGCCCGCTGTTCTTGGACATCACATGGGGCGCAGGTGGCAAGACTGCGCAGCGGACGCAGGTCATCGCCCAGGGCGCCCAGTCGTACGTAGGCGTGGAGACGATGATGCATCTGACATGCACCAACCAGTCGGTTGAGTCGGTCAAGGAGGCGCTGAAGGAGGCGCGCAAGGCCGGGATCCAGAACATTCTCGCGCTGCGCGGAGACCCGGCTGACGGGAGCGAGGAGTGGACGGCGGCAGACACACAGCTGCGGTACGCAGCCGACCTGGTGCGGCTCATCCGCGAGGAGCACGGCGACTACTTTGGCATTGCCGTCGCCGGCTACCCGTCGGGCCACCCCGAGGCCGAGTCGTACGAGGCCGATCTGGACAACCTCAAGGCCAAGGTCGACGCTGGTGCCGACTTTGTGGTGACGCAGCTCTTCTTTGACGCCGCCATCTTTCTCAAGTTCCGCGACGACTGTGTCGCCCGCGGCATCAACGTGCCCATCGTTCCGGGCCTCTTGCCCATCCAGTCGTACGCCTCGCTGCGGCACCTCTCCAAGATGGCATCCACGCCCATCCCGGTCGAGATCACCGAAGCCGTCGAGGCGGTGAAGAACGACGACCGCGCTGTCCGTGACTTTGGCGTGACCAAGGCAGTCGAAATGATCCAGGAGCTGTGGGCCGGCGGCGTGTCGGGCGTCCACTTTTACACCCTCAACCGTGAGGTCGCCACCTCGCAGATTGTCGAGGCCCTCGAGCTTGTCTGCCCGCCGCCGCGCGAGCTGCCGTGGAAGTGCATCAACACTGTGCCGAAGCGCGCCGTCGAGGACGTGCGGCCCATCTTCTGGTCGAACCGGCCCGAATCGTACCTGCTGCGGACGTCCGAGTGGGACGACTTTCCCAACGGGCGGTGGGGCGACTCCTCGTCGCCTGCCTTTGGCGAGATCTCCGACTACCACCTCTTCCACCTCGAGCCTGCCTTCAAGGTCGACGAGCACCGCGCCATGTGGGGCGAGGCGCCCAAGACCATCGCCGACCTCGCTGCCGTCTTTGTCGCCTTTTGCGAGGGCCGCATCCGTGCCCTGCCGTGGATCTCGGACGCGCTCGCCGACGAGACCACCGTCATTGCTGACGACCTCATTGCCCTCAACCGCGCCGGCGTCTTTACCATCAACTCGCAGCCGGCTGTTAACGGCCTCTCGTCCGACGACCCCGTCCACGGCTGGGGCGGCTCGGGCGGATATGTCTACCAGAAGGCCTACATTGAGGCATTTGTCTCGCCCACCGTCCTCGCCGCCCTCGAGGCCCTCATGCCCAAGTACCCGACGCTCCAGTACCATGCCCTCAACGCCGCCTCGGACGACCTGCACACCAACGTCAAGACCCAGGGCGCCGTCGCCGTCACATGGGGCGTCTTCCCGGCCAAGGAGATCATCCAGCCGACCGTCGTCGACGTCGACGCCTTCTACCAGTGGAAGGATGAGGCCTTTAAGCTCTGGCTCTCGCGCTGGAAGCGCCTCTACGCCGATGGCTCGCCCTCGGCCGCTCTCATCCAGTCGGTCCACGACAACTACTACCTCATCAACATTGTCGACAACGACTACGTCAACGGCGACATCTTTGCCGTCTTCCGCGAGCTTCTCACTCCAGACGCGCTCGCTGCTGCACCGTCCAGCTAAGCTGCATCTGATCGTGTAAACACAGCCGCTCTTGCCACGCCATGGTTTTTACGCTCTTCTCAGAGGACAAACGTCTTGCGCGAGTTGTGCAGATCCTTCTTCCACACCCACTCGTACTCGCCGTGCTTGGTGTCAAACGTGCCATCCTGCAGCCACCGGAGCTTGAGTGTGAAGCGCGGGCCGAGCTCCTGCATGCGGACCTTCTTGCCAGACTCAAAGATGTACCGATGGTGGCGGAAGAAGATAAAGTCGCGCTGGTTGTGGAAGGTCACCACCCGGCGGCCGTGGAACTCGGGCGCCGTGGGCAGAAGCGATCCGAGCAAGCGGCCGACGGTCATGCCGAGCCGGGTGGTAAAGTTGTTGAGAATCATCTCGGGCTTGTGCTTGGTGAGCTTGCCGTGGCCCGGGATGTGCTTGGTGTGCGTAAACGAGGTGAGCTTAAAGTACGCCGTCGGGCCCTCGGGCAGGTGAATGACGTAAATCCCGGAAAGCTTCTTGGCGTGCTCCTGCATAATGATGAGGTTGGTGTACCCGCGGTTCGATGCGTGCTGCACCATCTCCTTGATCCGATAGTTGCGGCGGGAGACAAACCGAGTCCGCGGGAAGACCTCCATGATGTTTCTCACCATCGGCAGAATGCTCCTGGACGGGTTAGGCGAGGTGGTAAACAGCAGCCGAGCCTCTTTTTCTCCACGAAAGTGTGCTGCAAACGCATCAAAGTTCACATCGTCCATCACCTCTTCATCGTCCTCCTTCACCGTCGTCTCATCCTTTGGCCTCATGCTCTCCAGCGTCCGCGGCATCTTCTTTGGCGGCGCCTACCCGCCCTCACCGTCCCCACCCACACCACAACAGCACCAGCCACATTCCCATGCCCACACCAAACCCATGCCCATGAGTATACCCCTACACTACTCCCTCTTCCACAGTCCCTTCTCCATCCACCAATCCCTACCGCCATCCCCCCGCCACCCCCCCCTTTCGCTTAGCAATGATGGGGGAAGAGCCAAAGATGGATGAGCTCTCGGCCAGAAGACGGGAGCAACGACGACGACCAATGTCGTCATCATCCTCATTCTCATTCTCATCATCGTCATTCATAATGCGCACACGAGACCACTTTCATATTACGTACAGCATCGCCAAGTGCATCCGCTTCGGCCTTTCTCTTCCGCCGTCCCTCGCGCTGTGCCTTCTTCTTCTCCTTCTTGAGTCGCTGGAAAACAGCAGACCGCTTGTGCTTATTCTTGATATCGTGGGGATCCATGGCTCTGCCGGTCGTCCCGTGACAAGTGGCTCGTCCTCCCGATTCCTAGCCGACGACCACAGCTCCACCACGCCAACCGCGACCGCACCCTCGTCGAGATAGACGCTGCCCTCACCACCGCCACCATCATCACCCCCGACGGCACACGTGTCCACGAGCGTGTCGCTGCCGCTCTCACCGCCCCGTCTGCCGTCGCCACCACCGCCAACTACGCCTCGTGGGCTCACGCCTCGCCTGCCCGCCGCGCACAGATTGCGTCCGCAGGCATCACCGCCCATCGCGCTGTCGCCGCCATCGACGGCGCCCTGTGCATGACCCGCGTCGTCGCTGCCCAGCTCTCTGCAAAGCTGCCCTCGTCCGTCGACTCGCTCGCCACCGCCTCGGCCTCGACCAACGCCGACCTCATCGCCTCTATCGATGCGCTTCTGGCCGAAACCGCCAGCTGAACAAAAAAAATATTACCACCCCCCACCCCCCCAACCCCCGCACCTCACGTGCAGATCACTTCACTCCTCCGCTCCGCCACCATCAATACCCATCTCATCACCTGATTTTCAACGGCATACTTTTTGCGCCTTTGCCATATTTTTTGTTCTATAGCACCGATTCACGCGCACCCAAAGCAGCCAACCCCACGCAGCGCACAAGTCGAGCACCGGACACACGCAGCATAGCCACCCCACTCTCCCCCACCACCGTCCACCCTCCTCACCCACCTTCCACCCCACCAACCCTACACCTCCTCTCCACACCCATACCCTCATCACTCAATCACTCTCCCCTCTCAACCCCACATACTTCCCCCCCCCTCCTCCTCCTCCTCCTCCACACACGCCACCCTCTCCGGTCTGAGCAACAACTACGTTCATTGCCTTGCTGTCATCCAGGTCCTGTTACTAGCGAAAAACGCGCGGGGGCATCGAGTGAGAAGAAAAAAAAGCTATTTCGCCGCCATCCCATCCATCCTTCTCCTTGCGCACGTTGGACAGGCGTACAAAGGGGATAGCTCGTTGGCTTACCGAAGGCTACAGCTTATAGCTTGGTAAGATGGAGAACAAGAAGCTCGAGTACCCGCCAGGACCGCGGCGTGCTTGTGATGTTTGCAAGTCGAACAAGCGCAAGTGCGACTTTACCCTCCCGTGCTCGCGCTGTCTTCGCACCAAGCGGACTTGCACGTATAACTTGCCCTTTGGTCGCAAGGCTAATCAAGCTGCCAAGAAGCAGCGTCACTCCAGCTCCACCACCACTGGCAAAACCAGCTCCAACAAGAACAAGAACAGGAACATGAACAACACCATCAACTCGGTGCCAAGCATCAGAAACTCGCCCAGCATCAACCACCTCAATCATCACTCCTCCTCCTCCTTGGCTGCAACAGAGATGCTCTCCTCTTCCATCGCCACTCGTGGTCATCATCGTGTCCATCATCACCCCCACAACTTGTCCTCGCCCTCGGCCGCCGCTTACTCGGCCGTACCCTACTCGGCCGTCGCCTACTCGTCGTCGTCGGCGACGACATCACCCACAGACCCCTCTCCGCCATACATCGCCCGCCATCACCACCATGCCCACCCAACGTCGGCGCCTTCGGTTTCCTCGGCTACCTCGGAGTCCTCCACCTCGGGCCCAACGCCATCGGCTTCCTCGGCTGCCCGCTCCGCCTACCATCCCGCCACCTCTAGCGGCCACCGCGCGAGCGTCTCCTACCGCGACGTGCCCATGCCGTCCATTCCCGACCTCGGCGTCTCCATGCAGTACTTCTACCCGCCGTCCTCGGCGCCCACCAACTTTGCTGCCGTCCCGCACTCGGCACCTGCTGCCTTGCTCAATGCCCAAAACTCGCTCGACGACCTCACCATGAATGCCTTAATCTTCCCGGCATCGTCCACGCTCATGTCCTCTCGCTCGCAGCCGCACCTGTTGTCGTCGGCGACATCTGCCGACGCCATGCCCTCGTCGACGCCGGCATCGGCCTCCTCGAACTCGCTCCTCGCCTCACGCGCCTTGCCGTCGACGCTGTGCCCCCTCGACGTTACCCCGTCGGCCATGCTCGACTACGTCCCGCCCTCGCCCGATTCAACCATCAAGTCACTCCTCAACATGAACTTCGGTGATGCCCTCAACTCGCCGCCCTCCTCGGCAGGCTCGGCACAGCACGATGCCCTGCCCGACATCCTCCTCCCCTCCACGCTTCCGGTCTGCCCCGGTCCCTCACCTCAGCCAGGCCCTGTCCTCTCGCTCTCGCCGCATACTTCGACCTCGGCCTCCTCCACTCCCGACGACCCGACTTCGCCCATGTCGCCCATCGTTCCGGGCGCCAAGCGCGCCCGCAGCGACGATGACGGCAACAGCGGCAGCACTTGTGGCCCTGCCGCAACCGCCAACCCCAACAGTACCGGTGTGCCCGAGAGGGCCGGCGCGACAACGCTCGCTACCTATGGCCCGCCCGTCAAGCGCGCTCGCGGCCTCGATCCGCGCGCTCGCCCCCTCGCTACGGCCTCCACACCAACCCAATCCTCGACTTTTCGCAGCTCGACGCGTCGCTGATGCGCACCGGAATTGACATTTTCTTCAACTTTATCAACATGTTCATCTCCCACATCCCGTCGCGTGACCCGTTCGACGCCGCCATCAACGGCCTCCTCTCTGGCACCATAGACTTCCACTCGCTCTCGCCCGTTCTCCGCGGTCAGCTACTTGGCATCGTTGCCATCGGCGTCTCCTCGCTCGCACCCAACCTCGCAGACCGCCTCATCGAGCAGACCCGCCCTCTCATTGGCCAGCTCTACGACGTCGAGACCCAGGAAGTCGCCGGCTTCCACATGCTCCTCTACATCTTCTTTGTTGGCCGGACCAACGTCCGCGCTTCATACCACCTCCGCGCCGCAGACACCCTCCTCACCAAGCTCCGCAACCGCGCTCGTGCCTCGTGTCTCCTCCTGGCCGCCCCGGACCAGGTCGCCCCGCAGGCCTTCTCCCAGCCGCCGCCCTCAGGAGAGGAAGTGTGGACGCCATCGACTCGCTCCATCTTCTACCGCGTCTACGCCCACTACGAGCTCCCGCTCATCGCCGCAACACGCGACTTTCCGCTCCCGCTCGATCCGGCCGACGACTTTACCGACGACGACATCCGCACCGCATGCCTACCGCACAACCACACAGGCCCGCTACCGTCCTACATTCCGCTCAATGCCGCCGTCGTCTCAAAACTCGTCGCCCCCGTCCGCAACGCCGTCCTCGCCGCCGCAGAAGCAAGCATCGCCCGCCCGCCACAGCTCCCGCGTCTCGACGCCATCCTCATGCTCATCTGCCAGTACCTCGTCGACCCGTCCATCACCGTCCTCGACTCGTGGACCCGCGACCAGGGCATCGACTCGCTGCAGCGCTGCCTCATGACCATGCTCGCAACATGCTCCCGCTCCGCCGTCGCTCGGCCGTCCGACCCCTCGCCCGAGCAGACTGCCCGCGATGAAGCCACCCGCTCGCGTCTCACTGCCGCAGCCCTCCGCATGGTCCGCATCCAGCGCCTTGCTGTCGAAGACGCACGTACCCTCCCACCCGAGCAGACCGCCTATGGTGCCTTTACGGCCCTCAAGGTCGCCGTCGCAGCCGTGTGCGTCATCATGTGCACCTACATCTCGGGCGAGCTCAAGCTCTCGCACACGGTCGCCTCGGCCGCCCTCGAGCTCCTCCTCCTCACAGACCCGTCGGCCTTCCAGATGGCGCCCTACGCCTTCCTCTTCCCGCTCTCCGCCGCCGCCTTCATCCTCCAGGTCACCGGCGACAAGGCCCGCCGCGCGTCATGCATCCGCCTCATCACGGAGTACTCGCCGCCCTCAAACCTCAACGTTGGCGTCCTCCCTGCTCTCCGAGTGGTCTTTGCCGCAATCCTGGAGGCCGAGAACGAGCCCGCCCAGGACAACCCGCCCGTCGTCACCCTGCCGCGCTGTGTCTCTTCAGCCTCCCGCGTCCCCTCCATCCCAGATCCCACCCCGCCGGCTGGCCCCGCCGCGCCTCAGCAGCGACCCGTCCACCGCCACCGCCGCCCGCCCGCCCCAGAGCTCGACAAGCTCTCTTCCTCGATGAACACCTCGTTCATCGACACCCTCCGCGCAGCAGGCCCGCCACGCCACGCCTCTCACTCTCACTCGACCGCCGCGCCTTCGTCTATCTGGAACCAATGACCCGCGCAGCCATCCGCAGCATCACGTACGAGTCGTCCTCGTCAACGTCACAATCAGAGCATCTAAACACACGTGTTAATCGTCCCCTTGCTCTACGACCCGAGCTCCTTCTTCCGCGCAGCCATTCGCCGCTGCCAGATCTTCTTGCGCTTCCGCTCAAGCTCCTCCTCCCGCGCCGCCTTGGCCTTTGCCCGCAGCCGCTCCTCCTCGCGCTTGATCGCCTCGCGATTGGCCCGCGCCTCGGACTCGTGCGCCTCCCGCGCCCGCCGCCGCCCGTCGCTCAGCTTGCTCCGCATGCTCCGCGTCAGCTCGCGCCGCGCAGCCCGCTCGGCCTCGCGCCCAGCCCGCACACGCGCCCGCATCTCTGCGTCGTCCACAGTCTCCAACCGCTCCTCCTCGGTCAGCCCGTAACCTGTCACGCCCATGCCGTCGCGATACACCGTACGAGGCAGCCGCTCAGACCGCACCTCCTCGTAAACGCGCGCACCGGCACGCGGCGAGCTCGAGCTGCCCACGCCGACCCATCGCTTCTCGCGCGCACGCAGCGCACGCGCCTTGGCCACCATCCGCGCCCGCGACAGCGCAGGCGCACGCGGCGAAAGCCTTTCCGCACCAGGCGACGCCTTGGCCCGCACGTAGCGAAGCCGCCGCGTCCGCGGCGATGCCCCAACCCGGCTCTGCCGCTTCGTCTTGCCGCTTTCGCCGTCGCGGCTTGCCACCGGTGATGGCGAGAGCGCTGCGTAGTGCGCCAGCCGTGCCGCAAAGAACGCCTGACGCGCCGCACGCGCCCGCTTGCGCGCCGCTGCCCGCGCCTGCGCACGCGCAGACTCGCGCGCACGCAGCCCCACAAGCGCCTCGTGGGAAAGTGTCATCGCGTGCGTCACTGCGTTCGACAGCCGCTTGCTCGCCACCACCACCTTGTGCTTGTGCTCCTGTCCAGAGCTCTCACTCGGTGTCTCGCGGGCAATGCTTTCCAGCGACCGCGTCGCGTCCGCAAGCTCGTGGGCAGACTGCACCAGCTCCACCTTTTTTCCAGCAATCTTGTCCGCCGTCGCGGGAGCCATCGGCACCTCGAGCGCCTGCAGCCGCGCCACAAGCTCCGCCACGCATCCGGAGAGCCCGCTCGCACATGCCGTCGCTTGATGCAGGTTGCTGGCAGAGAGTCCAGACAACGCGCCCTGCTCGCACATCTCCGCCTGTGCCTCGATTGACGAAAGCGCCACGTCCTCGCTTGCAGACTTGAGCTGACTATCCAACAGCGCGAGCACTGCGCGTTGTGCCTGTCCGAGCTGCGACGCCACAGCCTGGACCTTCTTCGAGCTTGGCAGCGCGTGCGAGCCGGCCGCTAACTGCGCAGCCGCAGTCGCCGCCGCCAGTCGCGTCCGCGCCTTGCGCAACGCCCCGTCATCGATCATGCTCACTCGCTCGCTGGCGTCCAGCGCGGCACTGCTTGCGGCCACTTCGGTCGCTGCCGCCACGCTCACCGCAGTCAGCGCCTCGTTAGTCCGATCCGCAGCCCGGAGAAGTCGCTCCAGGCTCAGCGGCCGCCGCTGCCCGCCGGCGTTCATCTCGGCTGCCACCTGGTGCTTGGCCGCCTTGACCCGCGCTACAGCGCCGGCCATTTGCCGCGCCACAACCGCAGCGCCCACGGTCCGCGCAACCACCGCGCCAGCATGCTCCAGTGCCGCAGCTACCCGTGACTGCGCCTCGGCTGCATCGCCATCGCCCGCAACCCCGCTCCGCAGCGTCGATGCAGTCTCCAGGAGCGCCGCGCTCGCCGCAGACGACACCGCGCCCGAGTTGGCCACGCACTCGAGCGCCGTAGCGTAGGCGCCCACAGCCACACCGGCCTCCTCACTCTCGCAAGCCACCGCGTCGAGCGCATCCTGCTCCAGCCGCGTGCAGCGGAGCAGCGCATCCAGAAGCGTCGACTCGCTTCTGTCGGAAGCCACCATCTCATTCCGCACGCTGCGCGTCGCTTCGCGGACCTCGGACAGCGCGAGAAAGACCTTGGCTTGCTCCGGCCGCTGCATGCCCTTGACTCCAGGTCGCGATGGCTGTCCAGGTTGCGCCGCGCCCGCCGCCACGCTCGCGCTCACCTCGCTCACAGCCTGACGGAGTGCCGCCACCGCCGCCGCCGTGTCCTCGGCGGCCTCACGCGGCGCGTGCGTCTCGGCAAACGCTGTCAGCGCCTGGCACGACTCGCTCAAGCTGCGCACCTGCGCCTCCACCACATCCATCCCGCGCCACTCGGCCTCGACCACGCGCTCGGTCCGCGACACAGCCTCGGCAACAATGCTCTCCAGCTGACTTCCGATCTCCTCCACGCGCGCCGCGTCTAGCCGCCGCCCGATCTCGCCGACCGCGGCCTCCACCGCACCGCGAACCTCGCGCCACCCGGCCGCCTCGACACGCGCCACCAGCTCGCCGCCGTCGGCATCGCGCGCAGCAGCGCGGACTCGCACAACTTGCGCAGAGAGCTCCCCGCTCCCACCTGCGCCTTCAGACTCGAGCGCATCCACCACCCGAGCCACCTCCTCCAGCCCGCTCTCAACCGCCTCGAGCAAGCCCGCTGTATCGCTCGACGTCGTCTCTGCATCGCCTGCCGCAGCAAGGGCGCCCTGGACTTGCGAGCACGCTGCAGAGACCTCAAAGGCCAGTGCTTCTGCTGACGTCGCAGACGCACCGTCTGACCGCAGCAAGCTCACCGCGCGGTGGACCGAAGCGTCAAGCCCGCCCACCGCGCTCCGCATTTCCGACGGCGCCAGTGAGCCCAACCGGAGCGCAGACGCCACAAGCTCCGACTGCGCCTGCAGCTCGGCCGCCAGTGCTCGTCCGACATCGGTCTCGGGCAGGAGCTTGCCAAGCTGAACTGAGAGCTCCTCGGCCTCGTCGGCCGCCACGCCCGCGTGCTTCGGGTTCGCTCCCAGCTCGCCGGACACAGCCAGCGCACTCATCGCCTCCATCCGGTCTTGCATGTGCCAGAGCGACGACGACGACGACGAAACGTGGCCAAACGGCGAGAAAACCGCCACAGCCTGTACAAACGCGCCATCCAGTGCCCGCAGTGCCGCGTCTACCTCGGTTCGTGCTCCACCGGTCTGCAGCGAGCCCTCCAGTGCAGCTTCGGCAGCCTCCAGCCCGCATAGCGCGTCGGCAAAGTCATCGCCTTGCCGCGGTGCGGCGTCGGCCAGCCGCATGGCCATGCCCTGCACCGCGCGCTTCAGCTTCTCGCCCATCACATACTCCAGCGGCCCATCAGCTGCCTCGAGCGCCTCGCGCCCGGCTGCGTACCCGGCCTCGAGCTGCGAGACTGAGAGCAGCCGCACTGCCGCCATTCGGTCGGCCACCGCGGCGTCAAACACGTTAATGGCGTCCTCTGAGCTCGGCGCCTCGCGCAGTGCAGCGTATGCCTCGTTCAGCTCCGCAGCCGACGACCCGGCCGAGAACGGTCCCAGCGTCTCCATGATAGCCTCGGCCTCCTGTAGTGACGCCGCGCTCCCGCGGTTGCCGGACCCCGTGTGCCACACCTCCTCCACAGCGTGGAGCGGAAGCGGTGCAGCCACCAGCTTGTCCAGCGCCATGTGCACCAGCTGCGAAAGATGGCCAAGCGCAGCATCCACCCGCGGCCGCGGCTGCACGTCCGGCACCGCCCGCAGCACCACCATGCCGTACTCGGTTTGGAACTGCGCCAGCGCGTCGTCGAGCGGTGATACAAGGAGCGAGTCCGCATCGCGTGCAGAGAGAAAGCCCTCCAGCAGGAGCACCACTTTGGTCGCCAGCCCATCCAACGACACGCTCACCAGCGACGGCACCGTCGCCGCGCCCGCACGCACCTGCTCCCACATCGCAGGCAGGGCCGAGAGCTCGGCCGACGAGCCTTCGGGCTCACCGACTCGCCGCCCTGGGCGTGCCTCAAACAGCGCCCGCAACAGCGCCGCACGCAAGTGGCGGAACTCGCGCCACACTCGCGACTCGCGACCCGAGAGCGAGCCGCCACCGGCGACCAGCGCTCCAAGCGCAGCGTTGATCTTTCGCATCGCCTTGAGAACGCTGTCTGGCCGGAGGCCTGACTCCTCCATCGATCGCGCCAGCAGCCGCACTCCCAGTCGCATCCCAACCACAACATCCGGATCCGTCCAGGCGTGCTTGCCTGAACCCTTGGGCCCGAGCTGGCTCTGTGCGTGCATGACACACAGCGCTCGTGAGAGGAGCGCCATCAGCTCCTCCGCACTCATGCTGGTGTCACCAGGCCACCGCTGCATGTGCAGACCGGTCACGGCCTTGACCACAGAGTGCTCCAGCTGCTCCAGTGTCTCCAACACCATTTCGGCCTCAGACTTGCCGCTGCCTGGGCTGGCCGCTGCCGAAAACATGCGCAGCGCAACCGCTAGCTCACGCCGGACGGCGCTCGCAGCGCCAGCGTCCGACGTCGACAGTGCCTGCATCACTGACCGCACCGCCGACTCGATGCTGCCCACAACCTCGCCTGACGCTGGCACATGCGACATCTGCCCACCCGCCACAAACAGCCGTCCGGTCCCGTACTCTATGGTGGCGTACGCCTCGCCGAGCGGCATGCCGTGTGGGAGGTCACCGAGCGCTGTCAGTGCGCTTGCCACCGCCGCGTCGACCTGCGCAACTACCGAGTCCGAGACCGGGTTGCGGACAGCGGTCGACGCCAGAAGAACGCCGGCCTCGCGGACAGCGCAGTGTGCCGCGCTCGCATCTCCCGTCGAGAATCCGCTCGTTGCAGACGCCTCCAGGTGGTGCTCCAGCGAGGCAAGCGCAGCCACAAGCGTGCTCGACGCACGTGCCCGGTCCTGGATCGAGCTGCTCGAGCTGGTCAGCGTCGCCGTCAGCCGCGACGCCACGCCCGAGACCACTGGCGCGTCCATCGCGCCAGCGCGCATGGTGAGTGCGCCCTCGCGAACCGCAACCGCCAGCTCGCTGTGGCCCTCGTGGTGTCCGGCAGCAACCATGGCCAGCGCACGTCGGATCCGCTGGCTCCCTGTCCGTGCGTCGGCCCGTGATGACGACATAGCATCGGCGAGCGAGAGCGCAGCATGCAGTGCGTCAGCTGGGGCGCCGCCGTCGCCGGACCCACGGAGAAAGACCGAGAGAGCCCGATCCGGTGGCAGCGGACCTCCCGAGAGTGCCATAAACGCGGCCTGGACTTGGTCCTGGACAGCATCGAGCGCGAGCGCAGTCATGTTGACTGCATGTGGCACGTCTTCAGGCGCCGAGTGACTCAGCGCGTCCACCGCCGCGTCGAGCCGTGACGTAGAGGACTCTAGCTCCGCCAGCCGCTCAAACTCGGTACGACCCTGAGCTTGTGACTCAACAAGCGCAGAGACAATCGCAACGGTGTTGCGGACCTGCGCGGAGGCCTCAGTGACTTGGTCGATGCTCCACTGGCCGGCCATCAGCGCGCGGGCATTGGTGAGCGAGCTCAGTAGCTTCTCGGTCGACATGGCTTCCACCCTCGGCACGTCGTCGGCGCACACCATGGCCGCCTGCATCATCTTGGCGTCGAGTCGAGTCTTGGCCTTAGCTCGCGCCTCGACGTTTCCACTCTTCTCCGCTTGGGCAAGCTCTCGCACTGCTCCTTCAAGCACGCTTCCAACCTCCCGCGCTGCGTCGTTGCCCGAGACACGGGCAAGGTTGTCCAGCTGGCCGATGAGCGCACCTACAAGCGCGTCGGTGCTTGCGCCGTTGCTCGGCGATAGCCCAAAGTACCGGGCTCGCACCTCTTGCGGTGGTAGACCAAGCGTCATCTCCCGCTCGGCGGCCGCCACATGGCTCAGCCGATGAAGTTCAACAAGTTGTGCTGCTGCGTTCTCGACAAACGGCACGCCGGACTCGGCCGCCGCATCGGCCGCCGCCAACAGGCGGGTCATAGTAGCGCGCAGTGCGCTCGCAGCGTCAGATTGTGGGGAAAGCGAGCTTGCCAGCCCAAGCACCGCGTCGCGCAGTGTGAGGACGGCCTCGGGTGACGTCGTCCTGTCTGCCAGCAGGGCGCAGAGGAGCTCGCTGGTGGATTCGGGTGCGGCCTCGGTGTCGCTCGGCTTGCCGATGCACGCCTCGGCATCCTCCATTGCTGCTACCAGGCGGCCCAGCGCGTCGTGGAGGTCGCCCTCGCTCTCGCTCGGGCTCTCCCCGCTCAGGATGTGAGCGTAGGCCATGTCCACGTCAGCAAGAGCGTCGTCGAGCTGCTCCACCAGGTCGTCCGCCTCGCCAGCGAGCTCGTCCTGAGCAACCCGGACAGCCCGTCGGAGTCGGGCATCGAGCGGTGCATCATGCAGCTCGTCCGGTGTGGCGAGCGCAAGTCGTGCCGCAACGCGCGGGAAGACTCGTCCAGCGGCGTCCGGGGCACTCAGGTTGTTGCGGTAGTAGACGCCTCCAAAGGCGTCGACAATGTCCACCGCCTCGTTGACTTGCCCACGGAGGGTAGCGAGGAGCGCGGCTAGGCCATCGGAAGAAGCGGAGTCATCGAGCTCAGTAAGCGCGTCTTTCGTCGTCTCAATGACGTCGAGGGTAGCGCGTAGGTCTGCCGCGCCCTCGCACTCGCCTGCGAGTGCGAGTCGCGCCACAATGCCGCGCCCACTCTCCGCGAGGGCAGCTGCGTCACTGGCTGCAGCCTCGGCTGTCGGCTTGCGGAGCCGCCCGGCAGCGCGAAAGAATCTGACGTCGAGCTCCTGCGCTGCGGGCACAGCGCCGTCAAGTGCGAGGAGGCCGGCCTCAAACGCAACCTCGAGCTCGGGTGACTCGCCATCGGTATCGTCTTCTCCGATCTGCTCGGCGAGAGCTCCTGCCGCGTCGGCATAGCCTGCGCTCGCCAGCTTGCTGGCAAGCACGCGGGCAAGCTCGCGGCGACGGGCGGAAGGAGCAGAAGCAAAGGCATCAGGGGTGAGCTGAGGCTGAACAAGCGGTTCGACAGCCGCGAGCATGGCGGCTTCAAGCTCGGAGATCGAGGAAGTCGACAGCAGCGCATCAGCTGCAGCAGATTTGCCACGGGCCCGAAGCGCTTCGACCACCGTAGCCACGCCGTCAAACTCGAGAAGCTCTTCGACGCTTTGCTTGGGATCGGTGCTGACAACAGCGGCAAGAAAGTCATCATAGGCGGCGACGAGCTCGTCGTCAGTCGCCGGCTCGGTCTGGGGCTCACGCAGCGACTCGGTGCCGGTGTCGCTGTCGGCAGCATCGCCGTCGGCAGCATCGCTGTCGGTGTCACTCAAGGAGTGCTCTGCGGTGGGAGCCCCCTCGCTGGCGGGCTCAGGTAGGACGTCGTCGCTCGAGGCGGCTTGGGAAGTGGCTTGGCTAGCCGAGCCAACGTCGGAGAGCGGGCCGGACGCGTCGCAGATGGATAGCGCAGCAGCCGACTGGAAGGCGGCGGCAGCCGACGAGCGCAGCTCCATGGATGCGTCAGAAGCGTCAAGATCAGCCGACGCCGAGGCTGAGACCGAAGCCGAGTCGGCGGTGGCGGCGGTGGCGGCAAGGTGGGTGCGTGTTGCGTGGCCGCGCCAGGCCGCCTGAATGGTGACCGCAGCCAGAGTGGCAATCTCGGACCCTGTCCGCGCGCCCTGGTTGCGCATCTTGGTGGCGAGCTCTGCCGTGCCCTCAGAATCCTCGGAGAGGCAGTAGTCGAGCGGGGTTTTGAACTGGTCGTCAAGCGGGTTGACCTTTGCCGAGCCGCGGAGAAGAAGCAGCGCAACGGCCTTCTCGGAGCCGCGATACGCCGCCCAGTGCAGTGGGGTGCGCTTGCCGGCGTCGGCCACGTTGGTCTCGGCCTTTGCCGCGACGAGGCGCTTCATGGCATCGAGCTGTCCGGCAAAGGCGGCGCAGTGGAGTGCGGTGCCGCCGCCGGCGTCGCGAGCGTCGACGTCTGCGCCCGAGGCGACAAAGAGCTTGATGGTGCGGACGTCGCCGGACGCGCCCATAAAGTGGAGGACTGTACGCCCCTGGGGGTCGGCAACGTTGGGATCGGCGCCACCGTCAAGCAGGATCTTACAGGTCGGGTAGTGCTCATTGAGGGCAGCCTCTTGGAGAGCGGTGCGCCCGTCGACGTCGACAGCGTTGATGGATGCGTTGGCGGAGCAGAGGATCTCGCAGATCCGGGTACGGCCTGTGGCGGCGGCCCAGTGAAGCGGAGTGCACTGCTCGACGTTTGCCTTCGCCGGGTTGGCGCCGGCCTTGACGAGGACCGAGACGCAGGCGAGGTAACCCTCATAGGCGGCAAAGTGCAGCGGAGTGTTGCCTTGGTCGTTGGCCACATTGACAATGTCGGGGAACTTGCGGGCGAGCTTCTCAACAAGTGCCGAGTGGTTGTTGCCCACGGCCCAGTGAAGCGCAGTGTGGCCCTCGGCGTCGACCATGGCGGGGTCGGCGTCAGCCTCGAGGAGCCGCATCATGGTACGGACTTTGCCGCTGCCTGCAGCAATCATGAGCGAGGTCCGGTTCTTGGAGTCACGCTCGTTGACGTCTGCGCCGGCAGCAATGAGCAGCGGGATGATGTCCGAGTGCGCCTGGGAAGTGGCCCAGTGGAGGGCGGAGAAGCCCTCCTGGTCGGTCCGCGTCGGGTCTGTGCCGGCAGCTAGCAGGAGCTTGACTGCGTCGACGTTGCCGTGCATGGACGCCAGCATGAGCGGCGTGAAATCGACTGTGTCGGCGACCTCAAACTCAGCGCCAGCCTCGAGCATCCATTGTAGGACCTCGGGCTTGGACTGGACGCAGGCCCAGTGGAGCGGAGTGCGGCCACGGGCGTCGCGGCCGTTAATGTCGACGCTCGCCTCGGTCACCAGCTCGGTGATGTCGTCAAGATTGCCAGCAAAGGCGGCCCAGGCGAGGTCGAGCGCGCTCGACTCTTGCCCATCCCCACCCTCGGGCCGCTCGTTGATGTCAACATGGACGCCAAGCTGTAGAAAGTGTGTGCCCTTTTGAAAGAGCTTGACAGTGAGGAGTTTGCGGACGACTCGGCGGAGTTGCTGCAGTACAGCCGTCGCAGTCGGTTCATGACGCGGAGCAACCGCGGCATCAGCCATCGTCCATCGTGTCCAACAACGACCGCAACCCCCCCCCCATCATCATCGATTAATTCCGATTTCCGATTGACAACAACGCCAGCAGCGGCGACGAGTCGACATGGAGAGTGTTAGCGGCCAGCAGCAGCATCACGACCGCCATCATCATCGTCGCCATTGTCGTGTTGTTGTCATTGTTGTCGTTGGCATCATCATTGTCATCACCATTGTTGTTGTCGTCGTCGTTGATTTCGTCATCATTGCTGGGTGAGAGATGGCTGTGTGTGTGTGGGGGGGGGGGGGGGGGGGGGGGGG